CAGAATCCATTATAATGTTGAGATGAGGGCTCAGAACATTTAAATAAAATGTTTGCTACCATGTTTACCATTCTTGAATCCATGTGAAGAGATTTTTTTTATTTAAGAATAACGTGCAAAGAAATACGACCCCAGCTGGAAGAAATAAACTAATTACAAGAATGCGTGAGGCATGCTTATCTATTGTTAATGTTTTCTTATCATACTATTACACTCTGCGAAAGTTTTTTTAAAGCGTGTCTTGATGACATACCTCGACAGTAATTGTAAAATAAACAAATTTTAAATAATATTAAAAACTTCAATAAAAAAAAAATATATATATATATATATATATCAAAATAAAACTCTTTTTTGCATAAAATAAAATGTTGAGATTGCGTATGCGTTAAATGTTTTAATTGAAAATAAAGTTGTTTTAATTGATTGTCACAATGCACAGTTGGTCAGATATCAAAAAAGCTGGTCAAAATATGAAAACGTTGAATGATTTGCCTGAAAATGTTTGAAAAACTTAAAAAACAAAATTGTGAATTTAATGTGTCCGTAAATGCAAAAAAATTAATTTAATGATGGAAGATAGTGTTATACATAGAAAAAACATTTTGTTTCAGTTACAATCGTTTTGGTTCTTTTCATCTTGATTTATCTCTTTGTTGAAGTCTTCATTATGTTTAAAGTCTGTTTCCTTGGCATCTGCGTCAGAGTCTTCATAATCTTTTGTTACAGGAACCAAGTGGGCAGCCGTGGCGCAGTGGTAGCGCACTCGCCTCAGAAACGTAAGATCCGTGGTTTAAACCGCACCTCTGGGCAATTTTTGCAACATCAGTTGGGAAGGAGGCATAAATTTCCTATTAAATGTCTTCCGCAGTGCTCTGTGATAAGACAGCAAGGACTTCTTGGGGCACCTAAAATAAAAATAATTATAAAAAAAAAAAAATTAAAGGGCAACAGCCTCTCGCAACAAAGTCTTCAATGTTTTTGGTGTTGATTTTCGCAGAGATGAAATGTAGGGGTCTGTGGTTGCCAACAATCTCCTGAACACGTTTTTTATAGTCTTAACTCTTGAAAACTTTTGAGCAAAACCCAAACAATATTGCTTTATTAACTTATTGGTTGATTCTTGAGCATCCTTGGACAGTTGACCGATGGGTAAAATGGCCGAAGAAATTTTACCTGGTCCGTGGATAAGCAATCTATGTACTGATGTTGGCATCTTGTATCAGGGATGTTCTTTGATATAATGCTTTGCAGTTACTAAGATGTAATCTCAAACTTTTCAACGTCTATTATATGTCACTCGAAATTGTTTGCAAAATTATATTAAAACGGTGGATTAATTCTTCGTAAACACCAATTATCAAAGATGACGTTTGAGTGTTTTCAAATAAACGTCGAGCGGTGTTTTCGCGTTTGTGCTGCCAACCCTTGCATTGGCATGTTGACTAAAATTTTTAGTTGCTGTTTAAAAGCTTTTTGGATGCTAGCTTTCGTTGTTGCTTTTTTTTTTTTCGTATTTTTTTTTTGTATCCCAAATGAATACAGCATTCAAAACATCGAATCCAGGCGTGTAGAGTTGACAGTCTGTACTGTAGATAACCAGTGGTTACCGGTCTTTGCAAAATTTCATCAATGTTATTAAATTGCTTGGAAGTTGCCTAGCAGAGATAACACCGTTGTGCTGATTTTGCGTTGGTGATAGCATTGCATACTTTACCATCTAACATACTTAAACTGTATTAAATAAAAGCATTTTTCATATGAATGGTTGTTTTTAATGGTTGGAGTTGTTCGATCTGTTATACAAAATGCGTTTCCTCTTTTATAAAAGTTTCCTCGGTTTCCTTTGTAAATTGCAATTTTAGAGGTCTGCAAAAAAGGGTTGAAGATTGCTTCGGATTACTCCATAAAAGATTTTCTTCTTTTGTTTCTTGATTTACACCTACAAATTCCAATGGAACAAGTGAAGTAAAAAGTAAGTTTGGATCTGATATATTCGGATCTTTAAAAGTCATTTTATAAATGCTTTGTCCGGATGTTCCGTCAAAGCCCCGCCTGCAAATCGAAGTCATATTCAACATTTCTGAATCGCTCTTATTGTCTTGGCTCAGCAGTAAAACACGTTGAACGGTGTGGTTTAATAAAGCTTGCAACTGTACCTCAGCATTTGATTCGGTAAAATTTAAGGTGTCGTCTGGAGGGTAGCAACTTTGTTTTGCTGCCAATACAGCTGAGTATGGTAGATAAAATGTATTTAAGCCTTTTTTTTGCCTGATTTATCAAATGCTGGTACAAATCTTTCGTAAAACTTATGTCTAATAGAAGTGCTAGAGCTTCATTTGCATTATAAAAGGCTGGCAATGATAATGATAGTTGCAAACCTTCCTTGTATTTTGTTGCCTTGAATGGACTTGACAGTGTAACGTCACTCAAAATCTTAGCAGCGTCTGAATGCCCTGAAGATCAAAGACTCATTTGCGTAGCAAATGATAATTTGGCAGGACTGAACTTCGTACGCATCTCTTTTTTGTTCTCCTTCTTTTAAACCTATCAAATAAAGTTTCAAAATTTCCGGTGGGTCGACCCGTTGATTTATTTACAGTTGCACTTTTTGCATCAATCTGAAAATATACTGAAGTTTTTTACCAGTTTTTGTTCTTATTGAAAAAGTAATCTTGTCGTTGAGCTGCTTCCTTATATTTACTTCTAAACTTTGTCATTAAAATTTTGTCATTAAAAAAGGTCTCATGTTGTCGCGAAGTGAAATTACATATCCAATCTTTTTAGTCAATGACTTTTCCAAATGTTCTATGATCATTTGCAAAATATTCCTTTGTAATAAGTCCGTAAACTCGAAAGTCCTTAAACGGCGACCAACTTTTAAACTAAATTATTTATTTTGATAATCTTATTTTAATAAAAATGTATAATGTATTATACAGTATTTTAAATGAATTCCATACTGTTACAAGATAATGACTTAAAGATTTAAATTACTGTAAAAATTACATATAAATTACTGTATTAATACATTTATAATTACTGTATAATTAAATGTTAATTACTATATAAACACTTTCAATACAATATAAATGCAACTTTTATTTTAATTATCAATTTATGAATTATTTTTGTAATTATTTATTAATTTATTAACTCATTTATTAAATACTTAAAATCGTTAAAGTACATATGCACAATGTTTGTATTTATATGTAACTTTTTCTTAATTTAATTATGAAGTTAATAACTTTTTTATTAAAAATATTTTTTATCTTCTATATAATAATGCCGAACTTAGTTTTAATAGTGTCCCTTGGAGCGTATTTGACACGAAACCCTTTGCAGCCATTGCAACCGAGGTAGTGGCGAGTGAGAGTTGCAGCACTTTGTTTTTTATGAAAACGTGAACGGACGTGTATGCAAATTTTTAACGTATATAAACTTTAAATTAAGTAATGTTAAAACATACTAAAACATTTGTCAAGATTTACAGTTTGATTTTCACTTAAAAATTGGATTGCGTCAAGTTCTCCTTAACTTTGATATACAACATATCTTTCCGCGATAAATGTCATTGCATAGTTTTAGGAATTTTTGTTTAACAACGTGCCAGCGTGGCCTAGTGGATAGCGCGCTTTGCTTCTGAACAAGTAAGCCCTGGTCGAGCCCTACCATTAAAAACTTTTTTTTTTTAATTTTTTAGACTATTTTAAAATCCAAATTAGATTTGAAAATTTATAAAGTGTTTTTATATACACGAACACGAACGCGAGCGAAAAAATTTTAAAAAAGATAATTTTTTTAAAAACATCAAAACACCGGGAGAAAAAAATTGTTGCGTATGTGTCATGATTAAGATACTTATATTAATAACGTGCTTAGGTATTTAGTCCTAATAAGCTGCGGATAATAAATAGTTTTTTTTTTCTACATTTATTCTTTTACAATAAATATGTGCTGCAGCTGTTTTTCAAAACGCCTTAATATACTTACGTATTTCGAGAAAAACGCAATTAATAAGAAAATTATTAAATAGAGATGATTAAACGGAAACAATGTATACCGTAAAAACCCCTAATTCCGGATGGTTTAGGACTAATATTGTCATAACTAGCTCAATATAAAGAATTTTGAAATAATTTTTTTAAATAATTAAACTTCATAACAAGACAAATCGAACGATATAAAAAATATTATTTTTGCGATATAAATCTATCTTTTATTTTATTTTTAAAAAATATTGTTTTTATCCGGAATTAGGTGTTTATGTCCCTAATTCCGGATGCGTATAGAATACAGAAAAACACATACACAAATAATACTAACATTAAAATAATTATTTTAATGTTAGTATTATTTGTGTTATTTAAATGAAATCATTTAATAAAAAAAGAATATATATTATTTTACACACATTCGTTACAAATAAACTCCATGGCTGGACGATAATCAAAGACACATTCAATGCATGACCAATTTGAACACTGCTCACACGCAAGCCATTGGTTATCTAAGTTATTTGTCCAATTAATTTCGCAAGAATAACATAGAAGATTATCAGATACTAAAATGTTATTTGAAACTTGAGGAAAATGAGAGTCTTCTAATCCATTTTTTGTCTTTATACCTTTTTTACCTGGTATTTTAGACGACTGACTTTGTCTCAACTTTTTTTTTTCTTCTCTTTTCTGTGCATTTTTCGCTTTTTGAGTAGCAGTGGAAATCTTTTTTTGTTCTCTAGTAAATTTCTTTGCAGCTTGTTCATCTAATTTTTGCTTTTTTAATGCTTGTTCAGCTTCATCGTAAGCTATGGCATCCGCCGAAGTCATATTATAATTAGCTGGTCGCTTTATTCTCTCACTTTTTTGAACTCTTTTATTTAGAGTTGGTGTCAATTGATCTCGAAGCATATTTAAGACTGATTTGTTTATATCTTTGCCCACTTGTTGAACAGCGTTATTCAAAGTAGCAAAGCTTTTAAGCAAAAATTCACGATTTTACATTCTTGACGGTGTGTTAGGTGTATTGGTAATATTTCCCATAACTAATGGACTAGATACTGTTGAAGAATCAAATAAATATTCAATATTGTTGTTTTCGACAGCTTGAAACACAGCACCAATGGAAGTTTTTTTTGAAGAAATTTGCGAACGATCGAGTGGAAATATACCAGTATTTTTGAAACCACTCCGTGCATTTTCAGGTTTAAACCCACCATTTTCGATGAGATCCTTAAACATGGCCGGAAAATGTCGATTAGTCAGGCTTTGAAAGTGATTTTTAGTCAAATAACTTTCGACAATTCTCTTCCATGCGCCTTTTACTGTTTTAAAAACGCCAACATCTAGTGGCTGTAAAAAATGGCTGGTATGAGCCGGCAAACGCCAAAGTAAAATATAATTTTCTAAAGCTTTTTTTTTCAACTCTAAGCTCATATGTGAAGCATGGCCATCAAGTATTAGAACTTTAAATCCTGAAAGTTTGTTTGCGTGAGGCAAAAAAACTGTTTCAAACCACGACAAAAAATGTTCGGATTCTATCCAGCCTGAACTACTACTGTTATAATAAACATTCTGGGCACCGCCTTTGCACCAGTCTTTCATAACATGTTTGCCTTTATAAATTATTTGATGAGGTAAATAATTACCGAATGCGTCACAACAAGTCAAGATTGTCGTCATTTGCTTTTCATTCGATGGTGCTAGCTTTTTAGGGTTTTTTGTTCCTTTTCTACAAATAATTTTGACTTTGCCTTGATCAAATTGCAAACCAGATTCATCACAGTTAAATATTTGAAACGGCTTATCGCCTAAATTATGTACATTATATGCTACTGCTAATTGCTCAAACCAATTGTCAATTATAGCTGGTTGTGTGGCCACAGCTCTAATAGTTTGCATACCGCTTACTTTCCTTGGGCAAATTTCTTTACGATATTTATTCATGAAACCGGAGTACCATTTTCTAGTCGGTTTGCCGTCTTTGAATAGACTACGTTGGTTTGATTCTTTTAAATAGTTTTCAACAACAATAAACACGTCTTTTCTATTCAAGCCGAAACCTATATCACTCATAAATTTTAATAAATCAACAATAATAGCTTCAGTGATGTTGCTCATCTTTCTTGGCGCTCCTCGATTATTAGATGATCCTTTTGTTCTGTCAAAAAGTGTAGATTTTGCCACATTATAACACTTAGCAGCTTGTACGTATGACATTTTATTTTCAGTAATAGCTTGAATAGCTAGCTGGAATCATACTCTAGATATATTCAACATTAGTAACTGAAATAGATAACATGTGTTTATGTAATGATAGTCAACAAGATAACTGCTTATATAAGTGCTGGTTTAATGTTTTTACGGCAAAAAAAGAAGCCAAATTCACTTAGTAATTTCTCTAAGAAAATACTTTCTTCAGGGAGTTCAATAAGATGATATACATGGTGTTTACCTTGTTGCTATGCCGTTGCTAAGGAGCAATGTTATATAGTACAACTTTTTATATAAAAAATAGACGGTTTTATATAGAATACATCAAAAAAATCGTTTTCAGCATGAATGAAAATGTTAAGAAGTTATATTAAAAAAAAATCAAAAAATTGGAAATTTTTGACCATACTACCACCTTAATGAACATAATATATTTCATTATGTGCATGAAAGTGATAAAAAATAAAATAGCCAATTGTAATTAACTGTATCCGGGACTCAAAAGTGTATTTGTTTATTGCTGCTGGCTGATTTGTTTATTATTTTTTCTAGGTACATAAAATAATAACTACCTCTATCCGGAATTAGGTGTCTTTTTTTTTTGGCTGGAAGCAAATTTGTTTTTTATTTTTTTCAATTATTTCAAAAGGAAATTTAATTTTTTTTTTGGCTAAAATAATCAGCATAAAATTCTGCACAAAATAGTGTTTTTACTTTTTTAATTTTTTTGTTGCAAGTCAAAGTTTTTTTTTTCCTTTTTTTTGTTTTTTTAGTTATGAGAGATTTCAAATTGAAATCTTTCATGATTGCATTAGTTTATATATATATTTTTTTATATTTTTTGATTTGTCTTGTAAAGACGTTTATTAATTAAAAAAAATTATTCATAAATTCATTATATTAAGGGAGTTATGAAACTTTTTATTAAAACCATCCGGGATTAGGTTACATCCGGAATTAGGGTTTTTTACGGTATATAAATTCTTTGTAACATGTTTTTTAAAAAAAAAAAAAATTTTAATGAATTTTATTAGAATTTTAAAAATATGTATTCAATAATGTTTGTAGACAAAACCAAAAAAACAAAGCTTGTTTTGTAAAACGTTTCCGCGGTGCTCTGTGATAAGACCGTAAGGACCTCTTGGGGCACCTTAATCAACTTGAAAAAAAAAAAAAAAAAAAAAATAAAAAAGTCAAAAATTATATTTTTTACCTAAAGGCGTTTTGAAAAACTGCTGCAGTATAGATGATACAACGAACATATTGAAATGAGATAATTGGACGCAAAATTTAAAAGTTCTTAACAAAAGCCACTAAACCAAAAGAATTAAAAGTAATTGCAGTTCAGTGCTTAAAAATATTAAGTATCATCGCAGTCGGAAAGTCACATGGTTATGCAAAATAACAAAAGCGCAAGTTGTTACCATCTTGGATAGGCGAAAACAAATGATTAGTTGAGTTAATAAAGCAGGACAATTATTACGAAAAAGTGGTTTAAATATGTTTTTTAAAAGTATTTTTAAAAAACATATTTACAAAACATATATATATATATATATATATATATATATATATATATATATATATATATATATATATATATATATATATATATATATATATATATATATATATAAAATTAATATATTATTTATATTTAAACGTATATCTATATATCAAAAATCACTTAAAGACACAACAACCCTTGTGCATTTTAAAGACTTTTATGTTATGCCATTGTTTTCGTTTCATAACGAAAGTTTATTTTACCCCAATTCAAATGGTAGATGTTCACGGCAAAGATTATGACGTATTTTCGATTGCGAGGGTTGGTGTTTGCAAAGAAACATATAAATTATTTTTTAATAAAACTAACTTATTTTAAACTTTGTTGAATAGACAGGTTTGGCGCCTAACCATCCCTATTTAAACAATTTATATAAAATAATATGTTATTTGTTTATATATATTCTTTATAAAATGTAAAAAAAAACTTATAAAACGTTTTATTCAGGATCGTATGAAACATAAGTAAACTTTTCTATGTCAGCAATGGATTGTATAATGACTGGGATACGTAAAGGTTTGGGTTGTGGAGGAAACAGTAATGTTCATTAACTTTGTTTTTCATATATTCATATTACTTATATATTTATAATATAATAATTACAAGTCTTTTTTGCTCAAGCAGTTTTGTTTTGATGTTTAAGTAGGTTAAGTGATAAGTAGGTATGTTATATTTAAAATATATTACATTTAAAATATATTATATTTAAAATATATTATATTTATAAAAAATGGACAAAATTAAAAAAACACAAAACATATTGAGATCCAAGTGAAAAATTTGAAACTCCAATTTTAGATTTGTTAAATTTATGTCATCTTCTTACGTCCGCCAAACCCGGTAATATAAAAGCTTAACTGTAAGATTCAAAAATCAACGAATTTTTGTATTACAATATGCCCCAACTAAAATAATGTCTTTGCGGTTCATCTGATTAAATTCACCAAATCCGGTAATAAAAACAGCTTAATAAAAAGATTTTAAAATTATCTGATTCTTGGATTATGGTATGAGCGCCAACTGAACTATAAAACGACTGAAAATATGCCATGCAATCTGTTCCTTTTCATATATCGTTTATCAAACAATAAGTAAGTTTCATTTCTTTCAATTAAAAGTTTATTTATTGTGTTCTTAATCTTAATTCAGAATTAACATAATTATTGTTTTTGACAAAATAAAAATGATTTCTATTTTATTTTAGAAATTAGTAATCAAAATAGAGAATTTTTGAATATTCTTTTTATCTATTTAATAATACTAAAGTTAATAGTAGTAGTGCCCTTTTTTAGCCTGTTCGATACAGACCTCTTGGCAGCCATTGCAATCGAGGTAATGGGGAGAGAGAGTTGCAACAGCTTTGTTTTATAAGAAAACATGAACAAAAGTGTATTTTTAAACGAAGGTGTATCTTTGAACGAAACTGTATGTTTAGTGTATTTTTATTATGTATGTAACATCATGTTTTACAGTTTTACTTGCATTGCGCAAAACATCTTTTTAATTTTGATCCGATACTTTGCATAATGATCATTGGATTTAAAAATGTTCCATAATAAAAAGTAATTTCTGGTGCAGAACAATTTTTAACTAAAACCATTATTGAGTAATTCACACTTTGCATATAGTTCTTACAAGATATAGAGATATTATATGTATTTTCAGTTTTGTACATATGCTGTACTTGAAATGAAACAGGACTTACATTCATGGTCTGATTGTTAAGAATAGAATCACCATCTCCCCAATCAATTGGGTATAACATATATGAACCTGAATACTGATGCACGTTAATGATGATAGTTTTGTTGAGAGACAATAGAACATTTCCATTACTTGAATTAATGGGCATTGTTGAAATATTTAAATTAAAAATTGTTGAAATATTTAAATTAAAAAAACTGTGACACTTGTGGACTTTGATAGCGATTTATTAACTGTTTTAAAACCATTTGCAAAAGTGTTTCCTACAAAACATTGATTGTAAACACTCTGCAGACAGAATATCTGAAAAAAAAAAATACTTTAAAATATGTAACTTGTACCATTATTGTTACAATGTATTATTTTCACAATGTATAATAACTATTATTATATTTATTATTATTTTTATTATTATTATATTATAATATTATACATTATTATTATTATTATAATCTATTTAATACTGAACTTAATAGTAGTTTTGCTCTTTCGAGCCTGTTTGACAGAGAACTCTTGGCAGCCATTGGTAATGGCGAGAAAAAGTTACAGCAGCTTTGTTTTATAAGAAAACATGAACAAAAGAGTATCTTTAAACGAAGGTGTATCTTTGAACGAAACTGTATGTTTAGTGAATTTTTATTATGTATGTAATATCATGTTTTACAGGTTTACTTGCATTGCGCAAAACATCTTTTTAATTTTGATTTAAACCATTTATTTCCGTTTTATAAAGTCTTTTGATTTTTAAATAATTTTAAACTTTATCTATATAATAATAATATGTATTATCATGTATTACAGATTTACTTGCATTGCGACAATATCTTTTTAATTTTGATCTGTAGCATTTATTTTTGTGTTATACAGTCTTTTGCTTTTTAAATAATTTAAAACTTAAGGTAAGTAAGTTGCAATATGATGAGCATTTAGCGTACCAACATACGGAGGTGAATATCGGAGTTAGAGTCCTATTATTGGAATTCTATTTATTTTATTTTTTTTAATTTTTCATTGATTTTATTTAAAATACAGATTAAAACACTTTTAAAAGAGAACTATGAAAATGTTTTGTTTTGCGTTTTAAAAAATAAAAAAAAGGCAAGCTTGCCACGCGGCTTCTAAACTTTTTTTGAACAAAGTAAGGAGGTTTAAATAAAATGTTTTCATTAGAAGAACATGACTTAAAATTTTGATTTTATATAAAATAAATCATTTTTATCAACTTAACTATTTTAAAAAATAATAAAAGTTAAAATTACTTATTTTAGGATAATAAAGTAATTTAAAGTTTCATAGCTATTTTACAACACCTTTGCTAAACATTCAAAACCAAGTGCTAAATGACGAAACTTAGATAACTATGAAATTAGTACCTAACATATTTAATTAGGTAAATCTAGGCATCTAACACCATAAAAAGACGTTTTTCTTTCTAAATTGTTTTAGTAATAAATTCAGAAATTTTCATTCCAAAAAAACATACGTCGTAATAAGCTCTAAGTATACGGAAAAGATGCGTATGTAAACTTTCTTTTTTGCTCATAATCTATTGTTCACTAAAAAAATATTAGGAGAAAAAGTTAATGTGGAATAGAGTCTCTCTGTTTATGAGAAAAACAAACTATTTTATAAATCTCTTTCAAGATCCACTTATATAAAATACTCTTATAAGATCCGTATACGGAAAAAATGCGCATGTTAATTTTTTTTGCTAATTCTGGCTGAAACCGCGCTTAAAGAAATTTTTTAGAAATTTTTAGAATTGTTTTATTTTACCAAATAATATTAAAGTTAAGATATGATTTGTGTAGAATTTAGTATAGAAATATAAAATTAGTATAGAAATTGTCGCTTTGGTAAAAACCTGTATTTTACTTGTTAGGAAAATAAGGATATACACGTAAAAAAAAAGAATAGAAAAGATCACAAAAACCCGTGTTTTTACGGGTCCGGTCTGATGAAATTTTTTACACGTTTCAAGCAGGTATTTAGACAGGTATCCAATTGGCGATTTACGCAACGTAACGTTACCGTAATATTTAAAGTTGATTAAGGGGGAAGCCCCCCCTAAACAGAAGTATTAAACATTTTAAATAAAATCAAGAATATAAAACATCAATATAATATGAATAAACAAAATCCTTGAAAAAAAATACAAAATGGTTTTTGGTTGCCATAGTAACCACAAAAAACACATAAAAATGGGCAAAAAATGCATTTACACCGGCCATAAAAACTAAATAACCGTGCAAGATCTCTTAAAAAGCTTTCACCAAATGCTTCACAAAAGGTCAAAGGGTGTTTTAATAGCGGCATTTTTCTGTAACTAAAAATCTGAGCGATGGGTGCACATTTAAAGATGGCGAAAATATTTTTTATTCAAAATATTAAAAATAAAAAAATTTAAACCTCAATTTAAAAAACTGTTTCTATTAAACCACAGTTTATAATCATAGAAACAACTCCAGAAAATTTCATCAAAATTGGTAAAACGGTTCTTGAGATAAAATGGCCGGCGTATGAAAAAAGACTATTTTGAGAAAACGCGAAAAGAAAAAAAAATTAGCATATAAAACTTTGAAACTTTAAGTAAAACACATATTATAGTTAAAATATCTAATAAAAAGTATTTGAAACCTCCTGCTTTATACAACTTCCCTTCTTTTTCTTTTTCATTATCATTTTTATTATGTTTTTTGCCACAAATAATTTTTTTTTCCAACTTGTTTTTATCAATATTTATGTATTTGGAACGTGATAGTTGTTTTTAGTTTAAATTTTTACAACCTTTAAGAGTATATGCTCCTGGAATTATTTCGAAAAATTCATAAACTAAAATCGAGGTTTTCGATCAATGTTAAAATTAGCCACTGCATCATAAACTCCAAATTCTAATTGACTGAATTATATAAATTTCATTTTAGGTAAGTATTTAGGTAGTATTTTGTGTCTTACCATGTAAGCACTTTTCCAAATGTTAGTCAGCACTGAGTTCTGCAAAGATTGGTTTGATTTTATAAACAATAGCTATTGGTAAACCTGGTCCAGGTTTATAAGTTTCTTTTAAGTTGTACCATTGGCTTTACCTGAATTATATTTGCACCAATTATCAGCTCCAACTGGGCAATGTGGAAAATGTAGATTATTCTCCTTGTTGGAGGCAACATAATAAAGTGATGCCAGAGTACCAGGTTACATAGATGCTAAATCTCATTACAATACATTAGCTCTAATTGAAACACCAAAATAACTTTGCAACCGATCAATTGTTGCATCTGTTAATTTAACTCTACCACCAAGGTTTTTAGTTTTTTTTTCAACTTTCTTAATCTTGTACCTATACGTTTTCATCACATAAAACATCAGTATCAACAATATCAGTATTCGAATCGTGTCTGATTTCCGCAGTAGCATCACACATAGTCTCTATTGCTACTTTTTTCACAACTTTAGAGATTTTTTAGCAAGCTTGTCATAGTTATTTGTAGTCATTGGCGGAGGAATATTCATAAAAGAAGTGAAGTTTTTAAGTCCTGCGTGACATTGACCCAACGACCGCATTGTCTAAATAACTCGCTTATTTATGTTGTATCCCTGCTTACCTTTTTTTTTTATAGTACAAATATTTTTGAAAAATAAACAATTTGAACATTTTAAAACTAAAAAGGAGCAAGTCCATGTCGATCTTTTGAGTTGTCAGACAACACAAAGAGTCTTCATTGAAGCACATTGGACAAATGAGTTCTTTAAAAATAACAAATAACACTTTTATATCTATATCCAGACAGTAGAGTACAAGATTCAACTACATCAATTTGTCGTATTTTTGAATGTGGTGCTGGAATATTTACAATATTATCAGAAGCGTCAGTCAGACAGTGAATCACAGTGTCATTATTAATTAAAATATTTACAATTGGAGTAGATTCTTTATTTACACTATCAACAACAACTTCTTCTTCATAAAATAATGATTTTTCAACTGGAAAAGATCTATACTTTTTCATAACAATAATAGTTCGACGTTTTACTCTACAACATTTTGGCATTCTTGTTAAAATAAAATTAATCTAAGTTTGTTTTTGTCTCTTAATCTCGCTTACTTTTGTTCAGCTGAACAAGAAGTATAATAGAATGAAGCATCCTAACCCAAGTTAGGCATTTCACATAAGCTTTTTTTTTTTTTTTTTTTTTTTTTTTTTCAAATACGACAAAAAAATTACACTTTCGATATAACGAAACATCAACTTACCATTAAAAAACCAAAAATTTCTTTACTTTAGAATGATTTTTATGAAAAACAAATTACATAAATGAAATCTATGGTAATTTTTATGTCTAAAAACAGTCATACTAAATTTTTGTTTTTTTGATGATTTTAGAGGGAGTTTCCCCCTTAAGGTTAATTATAATAGAAATTTTTATTTTTCATTGATTTAAGAAGGAAACAACAATGATAGTTTTTCTACATGTATATAGCTTTTTTTCTACAGCTCACTACAAAATATTGAACAAGGAATAAGTATAGAAAAAGGCGATGTGGAATAAATTTATAATTTATATGAAATAAATTTACCAAGACCCGTGTTTTACGGGTCATGGCAGGTAAAGGTGAGTTTCCACTCATCCGTTTTTTCAAAGGGAACGGGATAGGAAAGAGAAAATTAGTCACATGAGCATGCGTAGTTTTCCTTCAGACATATTAAAACTTATACTACGCATGCCCACGTGATTATTTTTCCCGTCCCTTTCCCGTTCCCGTGAAAAAACAAATGAGTGGATACTCGCCTTAATATATCTATAAAATGAGAAAATTTTATAATTTTATTTTAAATTTTAGAAATCTTTTTTGCTAAATTATTATTTTTTTGTTATAAGTATATAAGCATTATTAAAAAAATGTCAAAGTTTATTACGCTGAAGAAAAGTCTTAAATCCCCTAAAACAAAATTGATGACAGCCACTTAATTACTGAGCTATCAAATGAAATGCATTTAGTAGAAAAATAAATCTAATTATAAGTATTTTATAAGCTCTATACATGCGGAAAAGGTGCACATGTTTAGTTTTTTACTCTTGAATGTTTTTTCCAGAACAAATTATTTTACTAAAAAATATTGAATTAAATAAGGAATAGGTATATAAATAATCAGTGCAGAATAGATATGGATAGAAATGTTAGCCTTGGTTAAGGCCCGTATTTTACGGATCCGGAAAGCTAGGATGTATAGGGAAAAAGTAAAGAAAAGTTCGGTTTGGAATAGACTTACAGAGACCCGTATTTTTACGGGTCCGATCTCAGCTAGTATATTAATAATGTCATTAAAAAAATAACTAATTAATAAGTTTAAAATATGAAACAAGAAAAAAAAAATGGGAATGCAATGATATCTTGAAGATTGGAAAATGGTAACTACTGTGTGGCAGTGTGTGTAGCAATCACAGTCTTTTTCTAAGTTATTCATCTCACTGTGTAGGAGAAAGCGTTGTTTCCGTCCTTTTCTACTTTTAATATTCTTTATAATGCTTCTAGACATTGATTATAATTAAAATTATACAAATGTAGCTCATAATTAAATAATTTTACTTTCATTCTTCATGATGTCTTAATAACGGCATTTTGCAACTGTCATATAAAACATGGCTTAAAAGTGGAGTTGGTACTAGTAGGAGAATTTGAATGTTTAGTTACAAATACTAAATACGTACAAAAACAATGTAAATGAAAATGAAATATCGTGGAATTCGTAACTTATCTCTATTTTTAAAGCAAATTTTAAAGCAAACTTTACAATTTTATATTTTTCTGTATTAAGTTAATTAAAAAAAAAAACCTTAATGATTAATGACAAAATAATAATAATTTTGTTTTTTTAATTAGTGCATACCTTGTGAAACGAATTCCATATTGAAAATATTTGTTTCACACGCACACAACAAAAACATTTATTTTTGGAAACAAAACGATTTTTTAGCTCTAACGTATGCAAGTACGACAGACAAAGGACTACCGATCTGCAATATAGCGCAAAAAATGAACAGCTGATCTTCTGGATTAAGTAGTCCTAACATCACTGAAGTCAACCTAATAGTCAGAAAATACCGCGAAGAAAACTTTTTTTTTCCTTTTTCACCAGCTTTTTTGAGATCTGACCAACTGCGCGATGTTTTAAATGAATCTCATGGTTGTTTTAAATGGTTGTCATGTTTGTTTTTAATGAAACCGGTAAGACCTCCTCTTAGCCTAAAAAAATTTGAATTTTTTTACAGTCTTGTTTAAATATTTATAGCAAAAAATAATAATATAGCTAAAAAGATTACTAAAATTTAAAATAAAGTTTTAAAGTTTTCTCATTTTATGGTTATATAAGATGATATATAAGATAAAATAAAATTTATAACAAAATTTTAAAACTTCCTCATTTTATAGATATATAGATATATGCAATTAATCCATAAAATGCCTACAAACCTAACATATGCTAAAGACTTTTAAACTTGAAAACGTTCGTACATAACGCTATATAAACGTAACTAATAAGACAACATTATTTTGTTAAAACAGTTAATTGCAGATAGAGGTTCAATTCATTATGCTTTGTTCAATCAATTCATTTTAAACCAAAATATCATAATGTCAGACATATCCTAAGCTATGCAAACTATTCATCATGGTTTTAAGTTTTATCTTCAACTGATCTTTATCAGATTTGATAGTCTGTCTCAGTACTCCAGACCTTCTAATTAAATTATCGCGAAAACGGAATTGTATGTATATTTAACATTTTTTGTTACTTAAATGATTTACCAAATGATTAACCACTGAATTTAGGAAATCTGACTACCAGCCGGCCTCAGAACCATAAAACTGAGATTTACAGCTGTATCCCCTTAGGAGAGCATAAATTGGCGTTAAAAATTGTCATAAAAGTGCAATGAGTCTTGACTCATTGCATGCATTTTGCTGGTCTCAGAAACACAAACAAAATCTAGTCTAGAAGATCCCGCATTTATCATCCATAACTAAAAACAGTGCATTATATATACATCCACGCTAACCTAATTGATGCAGAAGGGGTGTAAAGCTGGGCAACTAATAGAATCTGTTTACCCGATAAATCTTTGCCTAAAAGGCGTTCTACATAACATTAGCTGGATGCATTTAACAACTCTCCAAGATGAGTTGTTTTATTGATAAACCATCTCTAACCTTTACTTAACCAAAAACCTCTATATTTTAACTCCAGCAAAACTTAGGTATTTACCGCAAACGACAATCGCAGTACTGTCGACATTCGTATATGGATAAGTGGCAATCCTCTCACTGAGTCCTTTCTTTACGTCATCTTGGATTATCATTTACTACTGACCTTTCATGGAAACCAAATATACAATCTATTGCTAAATTAGCATCTGTTAAGGCTGCTTCTCTTTACCGTGCTTGCTATTTTCTCTCTCCTCATTCCATTCTCTATCTTTACAAATCTGTTATTTATCCCTGTATGGAATACTGTTATCATATTTGGGCTGGTTCTTCTAATGATGTTCTTACGTTTTTAGAAAAGGTCCAAAATAGCATTGTATATGAAGTTGAAATATGAGTCTATCTACCAAATTTGAACTTCATTCCCATCGTCGTAAAGTTCCACAACTTTTCCTGGAGTATTTGTTGATTTATTGCATTTTCATGTAATAGTTTATAATTTTTGCCGTTATCTGAAAATTGTTTGTATGAATGTTCATTTTAGGAAAACACATTAACAAGAAACTGAACTTCATTCTGAATATTTTGTTCTGAACATATTTTATATGCTCTTGAAAGAAAACTTTTAAAAATACTTATTGCAATATTAGGTGAAATTGAAAAATGTGGATTAACTAAAACATTAGTGATTGCTTGTTTACGATATATTAAAAATTCGTATTTATGAACAACTTGATTGGTAGAAATACAAACGTCTAGAAAATTTATTTGATTTTGAGAATTTCGGTATTCAATAGTATACTAAATGGCTGTATCTTGTGAATTTAAAGTATTTAAAAAAGATTTTGCGTTGGTAATATTAGAAAATCGTGCGTATCATCAATGTACCTTTTATAAGTTATTATATTAGATTAAATTCAATATATTGTAGGTGGGCTTCCGACATAACAACCATATGAAGCGGTGAACGGGCGTTTTTCTAAAAACGTTTTTTATCGGTTTTTATTAAGTCTAAATAAAACTTTTTATCGTTTTTAACGTTTTCCTAACAACCTTTTTTTTTCAAGTATAAGTTAATTAAGTAAATAACTAATGTTAAAAAAAGCCTTTTCACAAATGAAAATTTAGGTCTAACAGCCTAGATTAGGATAAATAGCTAAAAGTTTATACATTTTGTGTTTATTAACAATTCAAACATACAAAAACATATTAAAAATAATTTTTATGCTATTCTATTAGATCTCTCTTCAAACGGTCGCCTATAAAATTATCGATTAAATTGAATTTTTTACTGTATGTAACACTAATTTTCCTTAAAGGAAAAAAATCATAGAGATATTTCATGCATTTTACTAGCATGTAAAAAATAAATCAAAATGTTAATAATAATAAGAAAAAAAAAATAATGCCAAATTTCACACAGCATATAAAAGAAACCAAATAAACGACATACACACCACATTTATTAAAAATTTACCTATAATTTCTCTGTACAGTAAAGTGTTTTTTTAAATGATTTCCGAAAGATCAAGTATTCTTAAACAATGCTATAATAAATTTTGACATATTTTTATTCAAAACATTATTAGCAGAAACTGAAAAAGACCTTAAAAATTCAGGGAATATATTTACTATGATCCCATTTTATTTTATTTAGGAAAACCTTATGCATAAATGTAAACAAGAATATAACAAATACTAAATTAGTGCTATATATATATATACATGTATATATATATATATATATATATATATATATATATATATATATATATATATATATATATATATATATATATATATATATATATATATATATATACATGTATATATATATATATATATATATATATATATATATATAAATATATATATATATATATATTTATATATATACATGTATATATATATATATATATATATATATATATATATATATATATATATATATATATATATATATATATATATATATATATATATATATGTATATATATATATATATATATATATATATATATATATATATATATATATATATATATATATATATATATATATATATATATATATATATATATATATATATATATATATATATATGTATATCTTGCGGCACATCTTGGTAATATTGCCACCATTTAGTTCAACCAGTAGATAGCTTGCATACGAATAGAACGATTCCATTCTCTAGCATCTCTATATATGTGCGCTCTTTAGTTGGCCTGGTTTATTTTTAATACTTTTATTTTAGTTGTTTTCTCTCTAAAATAATACAAAACCGACACAAACATTCATGCTAAACTAAGTTAAAATTTTTAGTTAGCTTCATATGTAGTTTTGCATATTTAACACAAATAAAGTTTTTTTCGAAAAAAAGTTTTCAATAAACCAACTATCAACTTCAAATAAAATAATTTTTTTTAATAACAAAAAACAAAATAGTATCAATTAATAATATTGGCTACAAAATTGTTATTTTGAAATTAGAGCTTAAAGTATATTAATAAAATACCAATATTTGAAAGCCAATTCCGAATAAAAGAAAAAATCTTCGTTCAGAACACTCATATACAGAGGCGATTCTACAAATAAAATGAGGAGGAGAGGGTGCATTCGCAAAATGTACCGACTACCTTTGACTTTAACTTGAAAATTACCTTCTCTCGGGTAGGCGGGTGTAACGCACCCTCACTTCCCCACCCCTCCACCCCTACACACACACACCCATAAAAACGCCTCTGCTCATATATTTATTGAAGTTTTTTATTTTATGTTATAAAAAGATTATGAATTTCAGGTCAGGTCAGATTTAGGATCATCACGATCACTCTGCTACTGGTATTGTGTAAACTAGTGCTGCCTGTCCTATGCCCTGCTGCCTTTTAAACTGTGCTTTTTAGAACAAACAAACTCAAATGTAAAAATCCCCTTTCTTGGGGCTCTTGGTTGAATAAATCCTAGAGATGGTGTCTTGATAAAACTACTCTATTTGAGCATATAATTAACTACATCCAGCTGAAATTCCCCTGCCTTAGGGCTCTTGGTTAGGTAAAAGTTAAAAAAGGCGTCTCGATAAAAATACTCATCTTGTGTAGATTTAATTGTGCTCTATTTATGAAAAAGTCAAGATTTCTTTAAGCTTAAATCATGCCAAAAGTAACCAAAAATATTAAACATAAAAAAGCCATCCTCACCACCTAAATGTTTTAATATATCTTTTATAATATATCTAATAACCATGGTCTACAAAGCAACCCTCCATAAGTTGAATTTAACCTTTTGCAAAATTTACCAGATTCACTTGCTCCTAGTGGGATTAATTTAAATTCTGCTATTCCTTCTTCTGATCTTGGTGTTAATGGGTACTATCCTTTGATTTGCAAAGACTCCAATAATGTCATGCTTTGCTTGGGGGTATAAATACGCATCAATTCATCTATTTGCTGTGAAATCGGGTTCGAATCCTTTAAACATTCTTTTATGTGCTTCTGCTTTGCATCTCTTCACTCTTTTACCTTTCTCTTTGTTTTTTAATTTTCTCCTTTTTCTTAAGACTGCACTCTTTAAGATGAAATTTCTGATCAAATTAACCATGTCCTCTCTCTTTACCCCTCTGCCAATATTGTTGTTATTGGTGACTTTAATGCTCATCACACGGAATGACTTAGCTCTAACGCCACCTTACCCTGCTGCCACAAAAGCCTTTAACTTCTGATTTCTCAATCTTTTATTCAGATAGTTAACTTTCTGACTCGTTCACCTGACAAACCTAATCATTTAGCTTCACTCTTTAATTTATGTCTTGTCTCTGATCCTAGCTTGTGTTCAGTTTCTCCTTTTTCTCCTCTAGATGGTTCTGACCATGCAATCATCTCTTTTAATCTTTCATCTCGTACTTCCTTTTAGACTCACCCAGAGGCGGTCTGCAAATGGCGTAAATGAGATCGGGGGTTTGCTGTGGTTTAATTATAAAAGTAAGGAGACCTTAAATTAAAAAAAGTACATCATAAAATGTTGGATGGGTAAGTTAAAAGTGTAGGCTACTTAAAAAAACGTATGGCAAAATACAAAGAAAGGAGGGGGGGGGGGGGAATAATTAAAACAAAAGTGTACGTACTTCATGGACAACCTCTAATTATATATTCTCATATAGTTTTTTATTACCTATCTAATAAAAAAAAAATACGAAAAAAGAATACGAAAAAAAAAGAACTTATTCAATTTTTATTGATTAGTGTGCGGTTTAACCCAGTTTTACTCTATTATTTACAATTTTTTGTAAATGTTTATCTTTAATTTGAAATATAGACTCTTGCCAAAAACCCTGTTTTAAAGTTAAGCGTCACTCGCTTCCGCTAACTCGGGTTTATAATTGATATGTAAATTGGGGTATTATTATTATATTCTTGTTCACGTAAGTTTATACTTGTTAGATCAAATAAAGTTGTGAGAGTTTAAGAAAGTGAGAGTTTAAGGAAGTGTTGCCGCTTTTTGTCAGTGGAGAAGAATTTTTTGAAAAGTTTTTCATAAAATTTTCTAGTTAATGATTTATTGAGGTCCCTAAAACCTCCATACGCATTCCCTAAAACCTCCATACGCTAGTATTTATAAGATATAAGGTCTAGTTTAAAATTTAAAAGTATATAAAAATGTTGTATGCTTCTAATAATGCTGCAACTAAATACTGATCCTAGTAACCAGGATGCATGCTGAGCCTAGTTCAGCCATACATAAATAATTAGCAGATATTACCCAGCCCTGTTCATCCCCAAAACAAACCTTATCGTTAATTTTTTTTCTTTTTTTTCGTTTATTTGGCTAAATCTTTTTGAAAACAATACTTTTATTAAAATTTTTTTAATTAGTTTAATAAAATTTACACTATTAAACATTTTTTTGAAATTTTTTTTTAAATACCTTTGTAATTAAAGCATCCTAGTACAAAAGAGAGCTAGACAAATGAATAGTACACAGGGGAAAAAATATGCTCTTGGAAGTAAAAAATAATTCAAATTTTTAAAAAATTATTTTAAACTGACCAACTATTAAACGCATAAAATTATTTGCCGTAATGCGTCCCACTCAACCCTTAAAAAAACGTATTAGAACAGTGATGTAGTTTTGTAGGTGTTTTAATTACTTTAATAACTTCTTACTTGAATACAATTAAAATCGGAAAATTTTCTTTTGTTTAAAAATTGTCACCTTTTAAATCTTTTCTGAAGACCTTTTAAATCTTTTCTGAAGAAAAGATTTAAAAGGTCCAAAATTATATGAAGCAATAAACTGTACAAAGAAGATATCTGTTATAAATAAAGAAGATTTTCCGGATCTGCTTAAAATCGAACTAAATAAATGGAGCAACGATGATCATCATTGCCAAACGTTACATAGCAACAAATTATTTAATATTACGTAGCTTGTACACAAAAGAATCAGGTTCAACAAATCCTTAAAAGCATATGGAAAGTACATGAGGAAAAACGGTACAATCACATTATAAAAGTTTTGAGAAAGTATATATTGATCATTTATGAAAGTCTTCATGTACAGCAAAAAAGTTTAAATTTTAGAAAAAATAGAAAATTCTTGATTAATTTTATAAAGTTTTCATGTTTAACAAACTTCTTATTTTAATTTTTTTCCCTTAACTATATCGAAAGTTAAAACAAAAAAATTAAAGTTAAAATACATAATTTAAAATAAAAAAATAATCAATAAATAAGTTCTCAACACTTTTTAAATGTGACCATATCATTTTTTTCCCTGAGCTCTTCAACTAGTAAAGACATTAAAAATGTATACATGTTAAGAACGTAAATTTTTATCTTCCAAGTCCGAACTCAAAACCATAAAAGGGAAATAATAAAAGGTTAATTGAAAAGGTATAATAACTTTTGTCAATAAACGTTTAATTTGTAAAGAAGCGAAAATTCGGGTACACTTGAAAGTCTTAAAACTGTGTGTTACACTGAGGTGATAAGGTTAAATGATAATTTTTTAAGGATAAACAAAGCAAAGTTTAGTTTGAAAAATTTATTATACAAAATAAGATTACAATTATTTCTTGCAAATTAAACTTGAGTGCTGCCTTTTTTTTTTTACGCTAAAACAAAAAGCGTTATAAATATTAGAGAACTTAGTAAAACTTTAAATAACAAAAAGGTAAAGTTGTAAGAAAAACATCACTTACAATATTACTATTTGCCTCTGCCTCTACTTCTGCTACCACCACCACCACCACCACCGCCTCCTCCACCACTTCTGCTACCGCCACCGCCACCACCCCCTCCTCCACCACTTCTGCTACCTCCACCGCCACCACCACCTCCTCCTCCACCACTTCTGCTACCACGTCCTCTAGGGTCAGCTACTTCATTTCTAAATTAAAAATAAAACTTAATACTTTTTTTAATCATCCAATAATTTCATAAAATATAGGTAAAAGTTTATAAGAACGTTTAGTAAGTATATTAACGTAAGTACGTTAAAGTTATATCTAAGTGCGTTTCAGCAATAATATTAAAAATACCACCATATAAAAGAAAAACTTACATCTCTTTTTTTCCGTAACCATATCCTCCGCTGTATCCACCTCCGTATCCGCCCCCGTATCCCCCATCTTCTTCGCTATGTTTATGTAAAAAAAAACTTTGCGTTATGTATAGTTTAATTCAATCTAAGAATTAGTCAAAAAATAGTTTTCCTAAATTCTTACGTTTCTCTTTTTCCGTAACCATATCCGCCATATCCACTTTCACTTTTATCTGCTTTTTCATTTCTAGATTAAAGATAAAAACATATTTTAATGTTTAAAATAATAAAATACGTATATGTCGTGTTATATAAATAATATCTACATTACCGAAGCAAAAGAAAGACAATGTTTGGTTTATTGTAAAACGTTTCTTACAAATAAGAATTGGATAAAGATTTAACTGAAAATTGTTGAGCGTGTGATGATTTTCAAATAGCTTTTTAGAACTCTATTATATTTAATTTAGATTTATAAATATGTAAATTTAAAACAATAAAGCCTACATCTCTTTTTTGCCGTAACCATATCCGCCACCGTATCCTCCATAACCACCTCCATATCCTCCACCATAATCACTCAATTTGTTTGAAAATAAATCCTTGTTTTCCTAAATTGAAAAGCTCATTTGTATTTCTAAACTAGTTTATTTAGAGATTTAAAAAAAAAACACGCAAGTTTAACAAAAACTAAACGCGATAAAAACGTTTGCAAACTATTTATATTCAAGTAAAAAAATAATAATCATAAAAAAGTTACTTCGCGATTAGATTCATCTTCGTTATCATTGTCTTTATTCCTAAAAGAGATAACATCATCATTAGCACTTTGCAAAATTTAAAATACTGAAAATATTAAAACTAAAGATTTAAGTATTTACTTTGTATCGGCAATAATGTCTTCTGCATTCTTGAAAGAAGCTGCTTCACTTAACTAAACAATAAGCCACATATATTTCAAAAGTAATATTATTGTTTAAAATGTTACATTGTTATATATAAAACTATTAGGTTTTACAACAAGATGATATAATCGTTAATTTTACTCACAAAAACTTGAAAAGAGATCAGAAACGTAACAAAAATGCAAAGATAAATCATTCTCTTTGAACACCACTAATTTTATTCAATGTTAATTTTTTACCCTTTTTATACAACCTTCTTATTAATTACAAAAACACCCTGAAAGCATTTATTAAACCAAGAACACGCATTAATTGGAAATTGACAATTTTTAAACAAAAGAAAATTTTCCGATTTTAATTGTATTCAAGTAAGAAGTTATTAAAGTAATTAAAACACCTACAAAACTACATCACTGTTCTAATACGTTTTTTTAAGGGTTGAGTGGGACGCATTACGGCAAATAATTTTATGCGTTTAATAGTTTGGTAACTATATTTTAAAATCGCATATTTTAAGAAAAAATTGCCAAATCATTCAAGGTTTCGGAATTTTCGGAAAACTCGAAACTAACGAAATAATAGTTTTTTGGTTTTTATCGGTTCGTTAGGTTTTAAGAAAAAATGGGCAAGAAACCCAAACGCAACCATTAATAATTATTTGAAATGCATCAAATTAATTGAAGTTACAAAATTTTACAGTTTAGGGAACGTTGTAATATTTTATTAAGGTGTGTCTTGTAAACAGCATTCCGTGACAAAAAATATGTTTTTCACCTGTGACATTATACATAACATTTTGCTTTCAGACCCTTGGATCAAAATATTGAGTTAGTTGAAATCAAAGTATTGACAATGGCATTTATTAAATTATTTTATTACCGGTACATTAAAATCTTTTTTATCAATAACTTGACTTTTTTTAAAAAGCGACTTGTCCTACTTTTTAATCAAACGGCTCATATATATGTGCATAATGTTATGGGTAAGCACCATTTTTTATTGCCCGTTTTGATGTTTAACGGATGGTGAATAAAAAGCAACTTCAAACCGGAATAAAGCTTTGTCTGAAAAAAGTTGACCTTAACCTTGAATTTTCACTTTTTGGGTCAACTTGTCTTCGAGTTAGTCGAATCCAAAGAAACAGGCTGGTTGAGGACAAACTTAATTAAACTAAACAAGTAACTAAAAGTTCTATTAAATGATATTTTATATATTCTCTACCTTGAAAACTATGGGAGTAATGACTCTTGAAGGTATGTCTGGAATTTTAGTAACCACCCGTTACTAGAGAAAAAAGACTAAACAAAAAACTCAAAAAAAACAAAAAAACTCGTGTAATAATAATAATATAAATTAAGCAAATCAACTATATTCGCCTCAATTTGTTTTTAATAATATAAACATTTTAAATTATGTCTTAAATTTAAACTCGAATTTGAAACTTTGTTAACATTAATTTTGACGCACCAATCCTCAGACCCATAACATTATTTAGGTTATTGCTTTAAATCATAGCTATTTTTGTAATAAGTCTTATCACTCCTCATTACATAAACATATTAAAGGCATTTATCAAACCAAGAAATTCGCATCATCTGAATGACAGTAATTTGCAAACAAACAAAAGTTTCCAATTTAATTGCATTCAATTAATAAAACACGGGCAACACTACATCACAGTTTTTAATGTTTATAAATATTATTTTAGTTTTTACATTAGACAAATGATAATATATTTATATATTTTTTAATATATCGTTGTTTTAAATATTATATATGGTAGAAGAAGAAGGGTCAAAATGGTGAACGCTTTAAAAATCTGAAAACTTGTTACGTGATCGGGATTAGATAACTTACAATGATATTTCTGTTTACAACTTTATAAAATTTTTAAAAGTAACTAATTACTTTATCTAAAAACAATATTGCCAAATAAGTATATTTTAAACATGCAAAAAATATCACAAAAAAAGTTATGCACGTTAAATCAACTAATAGCAGTAATATTTTTTTTAAATAAAAAAAACAACTTAAATTAACACTTTTTAAAAAAGCCAAATGCAGTTGGAAAATACAAATTATATATCCAATTTTGTTTCTACACATTTTTAAGTTTTAGTTGTTATACGAAAAGCGATCTTAGTCCATCAGCCATCTTGCCCTGATTTTCGCTAATTAAAAAAAAAGAAAACAGTTTTTCTAGATTTGGGATACAAATTGAAGTGTAAGTTATGAGATTTAAAAAAAAAAATTTAACAATTTAAAAGTTATATTAAAACGACATAAAGCTTTTAATACTTAGAGACAACAAAAACACAAAATAACAAAAAATGCATTTTATCATCAAAGTTTTTAAGATGTTAGCCTATCCCACAGCTTTTCTCTTTTCTAACTTTTTAAGTCCTATGTTTCATACATCTATGCTTTCTTTCTTCTTAAAGACTTAGTTTACGTTTATTATTGCTTACCTACATACATACATACATACATACATACATACATACATACATACATACATACATACATACATACATACATACATACATACATACATACATACATACATACATACATACATACATACATACATACATACATACATACATACATACATACATACATACATACATACATACATACATACATACATACATACATACATACATACATACATACATACATAAATACATAAATACATACATACATACATACATACATACATACATACATACATACATACATACATACATACATACATACATACATACATACATACATACATACATACATACATACATACATACATACATACATACATACATACATACATACATACATACATACATACATACATACATACATACATACATACATACATACATACATACATACATACATACATACATACATACATACATACATACATACATACATACATACATACATACATATATACATACATACGTTCAAGTCTAAAAAAATTATCAAAAACATATTTGCTATTTTCACTTAAAATAATGTACTCCCCTTAAAAAGTAAAAAAAAACAAAAAAATTATATGCTAGCCTTTTTAGTGCTACTCCTTCTATTTCCAAAAGAACATTCTATTTTCTAAACGTCTTTGCAACATTTAAATAATTCCAGCACCGAGCAAAGTCTTAACTTAAAAATAGCAGTCAAGAACATAAGACTTCACAGGTCTAGAAATTAAAGCTAAAGTTAGATTTCCATAGTATAATGTCACAGGTGAAAAACATACTTTTTGTCATGAAATGCTGTTTACAAGACACACCTTAATAAAATATTACAACGTTCCCTAAACTGTAAAATTTTGTGACTTCAATTATTTTGATGCATTTCAAATAATTATTAATGGTTGCGTTTGGGTTTCTTGCCCATTTTTTCTTAAAACCTAACGAACTGATAAAAACCAAAAAACTATTATTTCGTTAGTTTCGAGTTTTCCGAAAATTCCGAAACCTTGAATGATTTGGCGATTTTATCTTAAAATATGCGATTTTAAAATATAGTTACCAAACTATTAAATGCATAAAATTATTTGCCGTAATGCGTCCCACTCAACCCTTAAAAAAACGTATTAGAACAGTGATGTAGTTTTGTAGGTGTTTTAATTACTTTAATAACTTCTTACTTGTATACAATTAAAATCGGAAAGTTTTCTTTTGTTTAAAAATTGTCAATTTCCAATTAATGCGTGTTCTTGGTTTAATAAATGCTTTCAGGGTGTTTTTGTAATTAATAAGAAGATTGTATAAAAAGGGTAAAAAATTAACATTGAATAAAGTTAGTGGTGTTCAAAGAGAATGATTTATCGTTGCATTTTTGTTACGTTTCTGATCTCTTATCAAGTTTTTGTGAGTAAAATTAACGATTATATCATCTTGTTGTAAAACCTAATAGTTTTATATATAACAATGTAACATTTTAAACAATAATATTACTTTTGAAATATATGCGGCTTATTGTTTAGTTAAGTGAAGCAGCTTCTTTCAAGAATGCAGAAGACATTATTGCAGATACAAAGTAAATACTTAAATCTTTAGTTTTAATATTTTCAGTATTTTAAATTTTGCAAAATGCTAATAATGATGTTACCTCTTTTAGGAACAAAGATAATGATAACGAAGATGAATCTAATCGCGAAGTAACTTTTTTATGATTATTATTTTTTTACTTGAATATGAATATTTTGCAAACGTTTTTATCGCGTTTAGTTTTTGTTAAACTTGCGTGTTTTTTTTTTTAAATCTCTAAATTAACTAGTTTAGAAATACAAATGAGCTTTTCAATTTAGGAAAACAAGGATTTATTTTCAAACAAATTGAGTGATTATGGTGGAGGATATGGAGGTGGTTATGGAGGATACGGTGGCGGATATGGTTACGGCAAAAAAGAGACGTAAGCTTTATTGTTTTAAATTTACATATTTATAAATCTAAATTAAATATAATAAAGTTCTAAAAAGCTATTTGAAAATCATCACACACTCAACAATTTTCAGTTAAATCTTTATCCAATTCTTACTTTTATGTACAAACTTCAATAAAAAAACTCGTATAACGTTCAACACACTTTTTAATAAAGTTGATCACATTTAATATACAAAATTTTTCAAATAACATTTACGAGCAATCTAAAATGCATTACTATACGTAGTTTTGGCATTTTAGATTCAACCTATCGCCATCAGGCGTCCTAAACTACACTTTAATAAAAACGAACTGAAAAATTGTTCTTCTCTTTCTCTTAATAAGTTATCTTTAGTTTTCAAGTTTTGAAAAAAATAGGTTTTTTTTTACCTTTTAATTATTTGTAAGAAACGTTTTACAATAAACCAAACATTGTCTTTCTTTTGCTTCGGTAATGTAGATATTATATATATAACACGACATATACGTATTTTATTATTTTAAACATTAAAATATGTTTTTATCTTTGATCTAGAAATGAAAAAGCAGATAAAAGTGAAAGTGGATATGGCGGATATGGTTACGGAAAAAGAGAAACGTAAGAATTTGGGAAAACTATTTTTTGACTAATTCTTAGATTGAATTAAACTATACATAACGCAAAGTTTTCTTTTACATAAACATAGCGAAAAAGATGGGGGATACGGGGGCGGATACGGAGGTGGATACAGCGGAGGATATGGTTACGGAAAAAAAGAGATGTAAGTTTTTCTTTTATATGGTGGTATTTTCAATATTATTGCTGAAACGCACTTAGATATAACTTTAACGTACTTACGTTAATATACTTACTAAACGTTCTTATAAACTTTACCTATATTTTATGAAATTATTGGATGATTAAAAAAAGTATTAAGTTTTATTTTTAATTTAGAAATGAAGTAGCTGACCCTAGAGGACGTGGTAGCAGAAGTGGTGGAGGAGGTGGTGGTGGCGGTGGAGGTAGCAGAAGTGGTGGAGGAGGTGGTGGTGGCGGTGGCGGTAGCAGAAGTGGTGGAGGAGGCGGTGGTGGTGGTGGTGGTAGCAGAAGTAGAGGCAGAGGCAAATAGTAATATTGTAAGTGACGTTTTTCTTACAACTTTACTTTTTTGTTATATAAAGTTTTACTAAGTTCTCTAATATTTATAACGCTTTTTGTTTTAGAGTAAAAAAAAAAGGCAGCACTCAAGTTTAAATTGCAAGAAATAATTGTAATCTTATTTTGTATAATAAATTTTTCAAACTAAACTTTGCTTTGTTTATCCTTAAAAAATTATCATTTAACCTTATCACCTCAGTGTAACACACAGTTTT